TTCTGCATCATGATTAGAGAATTGACGTTATTGCTTCCACCACTTGTTCTTTCGTATCAGCCATCATAGCTCGAAGGGGACTTGATGCGACATTCATTTTGTGCCAGACTTTACAGAACTAAGATTAAGCATTCACTCTTTTCCCAATGCTTCTACTTTATTACTGTCTTCGACTCATGCGAAGGCTATAGGCGGTTGTTGTTGCAGGTCCTGCCTATTATTGAGTTCACGCATTACTAGTATAATATTTGAATGATTGTTGACAGTTGTCGTTTCAAAAGATCTTATTCCATGTCTTTGACATTTAAATTCTTTTCTCCACACCCCTCCTTGATATTGTTTGCAAGATTTTCGATTCATGGGATCATATTTGTGAAGAAGAACTATCTTTGAGTGCGTCGCAAGGCGTGCTTGTCTGGAAATGCCTCGCTTGTTAAAGTTCGGTGATGGTTCAAATCAAGAACGAACTGCAGAAGATTTAAGACATTTCCTTTCAATAGGAGATTAATCAGTGCTACCAATGAACTTTGATCACTATGTTCTGTAGGCCTTTGATTTGGGTATCAACTCGAGTCTGCCTACATACGCCCGCCTCGGGTTTTGCAATTTCTCATCCCCTCGCGGTCCCTCAACTGCCACTTCGGATGATGTCGCTCAGTTATCTTCTGTCAATCCTACCGGTGGTGATGATGGTGATACGTCCACCTCTTCCTCCTCCGAGCCAGAAACGGGAATTGTGGAACCCCAAAATTTGGCAGCTCCGACAGAGATTGGGATGGAAGGGATGACCCCACCCACTCCTCAACAGCGCTCTTACCATCAAAGTCATTCTCGTCAACCACATTCAACTTCTGCTGCTGTCTCCACACCGCGGTTCGTTCCACAGCTTCGATTGCCCACTTTGAAGCACTTCTCCTTGGCTTGCGCAGCCTATCTCGACAAGGAGGCAGCAGTGGGATCAACGTCAACCGAAGTTGTGCATTCCTCAGTTGAGTCTCGACGGATCGGCATCTCAGTATTTGTCATCCTCACGGATCACTATCGAAGATTTCCACGAGCGCGGTTGTCATCTTTGCCACTCGGCCTGTCTACTGAGGTGAGTCTCGTTTTCTAAATTGGATGATCTTCTGGGCAGAGAAGGTTCTCGGGTTTCTAAAATATGACGGTCGCTAGGATTTTGGGGCAGCCGCTTTGAGCTTGTCATCCTTATAATAGTCTGATTTTGTTAGCGAGGGTCACTTCTCTAGTGAACCTTCAAAGTTGGTAGATCTGTGATGGAATTGTTAAGATCTGCCAGAATCAGAATCGTTTTCCATGTCCCAGGACTGAAGTGGAGATGGAAACGTTAGCTATTTCAAGTTTTTTTCCCTTTATAGAAAGATAGCTTATTAAATTTTTTGCGATGCTCCTTGTGACTTGTAAGTATCAGTGCCACTAGAATTGGCCTCCTAGATGCCATCAGTTCCCATTATTTTTGGTCTGGTGTTCTCTTTACGGTGGGGTCGAAGAACTTACTTGATGGTGACTTTCAAGAAGATTTGAGCTTTTAATTTCAGTCTACAAAAGTGACGATGTTTGTATGACATTGCAGTTGAGTTTATTAACAAGAAAGTCATTTTTAGGCCATCGCACTATCCTCTTTTTCTTACCAAGACTCTCAAACTTGGCCACTCCGCCAGAACAAGATTGTGGAAGCTATTAACTAAATTTCTGTTGACAATCAATCCTTTGTTTTTTTACTGCCTTTATTTGTCTGCAGTTCCACGGAAAAAAGCTCGCTTTCATAAAATATACACGGCTTTACTAATGGGATGGCCGAGCCAAATGTAGCCTCCCTGAACCATGATCGCGTGAATTTTATGCGGGCCTTCGTATCACAAACAAAAGCCATTTAATTGAAAGAAATAGATTTTGCTGAAAAGATTCAGAAGAAATTAATGACAAACGGCCTCACCTCTGGAAGTCATTGAAAGTTAATTGGCCTTGTTTTATTCACGAAAGGGATTGTGTTTTCATTTTCTGTTGGCTTTTGAATGTTCTCTTAACTCTTGGACCCGCTTTCACTTCTTTTTTTTATGGAGCTGTTTTATTACCTCCTTCTGGGTACATAGTTGGCTGCAGAAAAGAAACTGACCTCGCCTCATTTGACACATATTATTAGCCAGACGTTTAATAATTTTGAAGCAGTTTCCATCTTTGTTCTCTTTTCTGCTTTACCTTGAAAGGCAAAGGAGACTACGGAAAATGGCGTAAGTCATGAACCGCGTTTTTAATGGTTCTACATTTTAAGACTAGTTATTGTTGGTGTTTGCTATTTAGCCCAGTTGTAAAGTTGTGAAATTACGGAGCAGCTCTGGCTGCTGAAAAATATTGCTGCAATGAGGCATTTAGCCAGAATTCTAAAAACTGGTAAGTCATGGTGCACGATGGTGGGTGCCTGGCGACTTCGCCTCTTTAGCATTACCTCCTCTCTTCGGTAACCTACATAACTTGGGAGTCCCCCTATTCCGCTATAGCTATTTTCATTATCGAGGCTAGGAACCAACATGCCACTGTTTGGAGCTGGCTAATTCAGCGCTACCCCAAGTGTTACTGTCGTTTCATGACTTCCAATAATTGTTGCCCGAAAGGCAAACTGTCCTAGGCTTTGAAAATGTGGGCATAATTTGTACTTCTGACACAATTTC